TCTAAGTCAACACTCATGAGCCGCTTAAATGGGTTTGGAGGCGATCTCAGCACATATCATCCATGAAATATCGTCCGCACCTCACACCTGCGTAGGAGCGCTCGCTGACCGGCCCCAGCAGCTGTGGATTACGCAGCTGCGGGTCTGGCCGAGGAGCCGCCTCTGACCGCGACCCAGTGCCGGGGGCGCGGCTCTCGAACCCGGGGGCGGCCGAGCAGTGCGCCGGACAGGCCCCTCCAAACAGCCCACTGACGCGCCCCCGGGTCACCGCGGCCACCGCTCTACGTGAGCGGAACGGTAAATGGCACCCAACGCCGCGCCGTCCCAGGTGCGAGACACGGCGCCGGCGACGGCCATGACTCTCATTTTGGAGATAATGGCTCGAACAGGCTATGTCTTCAGGTTTGGGTGCTAAAAACCTGGAGCAGGTTTCAGCAGTCGATTGGTATGTTAATGATTACAGGTGGCTGGCTCCGAGTGTGATTTTGGTTCCTAGCTTGTGGGAGACTCGTCTTCAAAAAAGAACATTTATAAATTGCATAATGATGGCTAATGTGCATTGAGTTAGGTGTAAGCTACTTTCAACGCTTCTACATAGTGTTATTTTGAAAAAGGCTGGCGCACGAGACCAATGTTTTGAAACGTAAGTTCTCACGCTTAGAATTCTGATTTTAATATTCATGGATGAAAAGACCGACGATCGCTTGTCCATTTCTGACAGATCAGGCGAGTTCTAAAAATGATGACAGATATTTCATTGTGTCTCGGATGAGATTAATTCCGTCAAGACCCAACAGATACGTTGACAATGTGATGGACCGATGACTCTGAGCTAATGCATGATTCGGCCCATGTTCCATCACAGTCACTGGAAAGTGTTAGCTGCGAGGTCGGACCGGCTGAGGCTGGCTGAGGCTCACACCGCCGTAAGAGACGAATTACTGCAGGTAGTGCTGAATTCAGCAGACGCAAACGGTGCCTGTAATTAGCTCTGCATTGCAGGAGCACTGGCAGAGACACAGTATCAACTTCTGCCGTAAGCAGGCTCGGTCACCGCTGGCCGCATTTAGAGGCCATATCACAAAGAAAAGTGCGTGAAGTGCAGAGGGGCGTAAAGCAATAAAACCCCGGCAATTAGGATAATTGGCCGGCAATGGCATTGCTCGCTCACGACGGCGAAACATTGCTTCTTTCACGCTTTGGAGGTCACGTCATGTCGGTGTGTTTTTTGTGACACGGAATATTGGAACATCGGTGACCCGTGGGCCCAGAACAGACGTCGTGGCATCGAGCGGATGTCAGTCATCTGTGACCCATTCACGCCGTGCATGAGCTCATTTTCAGCCGTATGTTAGGCAAGTCTCAGTCCCACACTTAGTGTGCCAGTCATTACACGCTTCACGGGTTTTAACGTTCCGAGTATTACCATATTTCGTGAATCACGAGTCATCGAGTCACGGAACTACATCAATCACAAGTCACCGCTCGTAGATGTCAGTGCCATGCACGAGTCCTGGTCGTTATTAGAGCCTTTGAAACAGCCTCCATCCATTCTGTTCGGCCCAAGTGTCCCAAATATCGGCTCCGCGGGGTGCCGCAGGGCTCTCGTCTTTTACCGCTACCTGACTGAGATAAAACTTCTCTGAAATCATAGCGCTCGTAGATCAGAGCCCTGTGGCAGCCCAGGGCACCCATGGCCGCTTATTTAGATGTGCTTATGATAAACACCGCGGTCGCAGCCCCGGCAACTTTCTTCACTCGTTTATTGATTGAAAATCGCCGGCGAACGGTGGCCGGTGAGCCTTACACAACAGTGACTTACGAGTTTACCAGGCTCGCCGCTGGATGACAATCACTCACTGGGACAGATGCGCGTGTCTTGAGGCTGGCGTGGTCACTTTTTGTAACCCCTTCGACCGATTGATAGATCTTCTTTGTAAACTCGATATTCCCGCTAAACTTTCACTGTCATGGAAGTTTCCTCGGCCAGCCTTGCACAATGCTTTGATTACTTTCTGATTTTACATAGCATGAAAATTGGGCATGCAAACTATTTCATTGTCATTTCTTGTATTGTGATATTTGGTCGGGGGCAAATTATAGTAGGCCTATAGCCTATGGCCTATGCAGTATGCTTGATGCTTATGTATGAGCGAGGGTAACGCTGTAGGCTCTAATTAACTGTCAATAAAACTTATGCCTTTATATTTCCTTTTATTGAAAATTTACCTACCGATTTTAGTTAACTTAACAACTTAACTTTACAAAAGTTCAGCTAAAAAGAATGTTCAAAAATACTTCGATGATGTTATTTGTCTAAGGAAACTACGTTCAGTCTAAAAGCGTGCCTATGAAGTACACTGGCAAACGGCCCACACGAAGCTGACAAATCTTAGTGCCGTGTGGTGTTGTAGCAGCTCATGTCGAAGCGGCGGCCAGTGGCGGCGGTTACATCCATTTACGGCACAGCTTGCTCAGTAATGGTCGCTCGGCGCACACGAGGCGCCCATCAGGGGCGATTGAGAAGGGCGGAGCAAGCGGGCGGCCGCGCGCGTGGCACACGAAACATTCTCCACAGAGCTGAGATTGGAGGTGGCGAGAGGCGCAGCCAATCGGTCATTGCATGGTGGGTCGGGCGGGGCTTTTGTTTACTGCCACCGTGGGTTGTACTTTGTGAGAAGCTCGGTGTTCAGAAAGATACACGCATGAGTGATTTGAGGGAAAAAGATAATGCCTTTGAGTCTGAAACACGCGTAGATGAAATACGTGCACGCAATGTTCTTTCACCAATAGGCAATAATCAGCTTGCTACGAAATGCACCGGTTATTGCGTTACTTGAGGGGGCGGGTGTCTCCGCAGGGAATAATATTGGTAACCAACTCACATTCAACGCAAGATTGGAGCTTGTGAGGAAAATACTTGTCCATTCTACCTTCTTATTGAATATAACACCTAAACGAGACGAAGATAGAGTTTGTGTCGAAGCTCCAGAAACGAATGTTTAAAAACCGAAAACACTTGTCACCACCTATCATTTAGTAGTCGGAGCTACAAAACACAGGCTATTGAATCTAAGTTGCATTGCCGTACATTTTTATTCAAAGTAAATAGCAATAAAAATGGAATGGCTATGTTCACTCACATCACACCCGACAAAATCGTTCCACTACCCGGCTGCTAAACGCATCCGACTGAATTATGAATCCACTGGTCATGTTCTTGGTCCCGAATCTCTGCTACGAGCCAGCAGTATCATCAGTTATATCAGCAGGTGAGGGCAGCCCCAGGCCATTACGTTTGAGCATGTTCTCCAGGATGACCGTCTGTACGGCTTAGTGACCAAACCAGCCTGCCCCAACTGGACAGTCTCAAAGACGAAACTCAGTGAGCCGTGAGTTAGCCGTGACTGAGCCGTGAGTGAGCGTGTACCATCACAGTGCACTGCAGGCTGTCCACTGCACTACTGCAGTAGGCGCCGCAATCAATCGTGCACTGTCATGCAGGTGGCTGTGCAAGCACTGGCCCTGCCATCAGCGACTGCAGAGCCGTCTGGTGGCCGTGTGTCGGTGACACTAGCGCTGCCTGGTGGAACGGCTCTCAGCTACCCAGACAACCGTCACCGGCCGCGGCGCCGTCCGGAGAATTGATCGGCAAGGCGAGGGTCAATGATCGGAGATAAGCGAGCTTCACCGACTCATCACCGTCTTATCACCTCCAATGACGCATGTGCATGACGAATCTATGCCGCTTTTATGTTGGACAGTATAAAAGAATGAACACAAAGACACTTCGGCATTCCACTGAATTAATTGATGCAGACTGTGAAACGCCAATAGCATGCAGCTGTCTACAAATGAGACGCGACTGAGTCCTGGTATCTTCAATCATGGCGCCATCCACCTCTGCTCGATTTTCGCAGCGAGTCAGCCGGCAGCCACTGACACCACAAACCAGAGCCACAAACTAGGTCCTGGCGCCGCCCAGCCGCGCCCAGCGGTTCTCCTGTGGTCTCAGACACCCCAGAGCCATCTGGTGGCGAATTGGGTCCACCTCAGGTTCCGATCTCATCCACCAGTTGCACGGTGCAGTGCTGACGTCTGGTGTCTGACGCTGGAACCATTCCGGCTCCCAAAGTGTGCCGTGCTGTGGAATTCTCCGCCTGGTCGGTCACTTGTTTTCGACATTCCGGACTGGAAATGCCGCGAACCCATCCCTGCGTCAATGCTCACCCTCCGGTCAGGCGGAAGGTCCATTCGGAGGGGACGCGCCCCCCGCCGCGTCTCCCCAGTGCTATTTGGGACTGGGGACGGAGCGACCCCTGAGCCTCCCGCGGGGTCGGTCGAGTGTGCAGCGACACGTGGTCAGAGCTACAGGTATTTCCGGGCCCTAACGGTCCTACCACCGCAGCGGACATTGTTGAAGGGAAAATCCACTTGTTCCTTGCTCCATTCTCTAAGCACTTGCTGAGCTTTATTCTTTCATGCGAGAGGAAGAGTTGCAATTCACATTGCAGTCAACAATACGTACATGTAGAAATAATATGTATTATCTAAGTGCTTAGTGGGATCGTATCTGGACACATAAAAGCGAAGAAGCCCAAGAACATGACGGTCTATGCAAATGAAAGTGTAGGGCGACACTCACCCAAGCAGTCTTTAGAACATGTGTTGAATTATTTAACATATCCACTTTCACCAGGTGACATGAGCCAGCTCATGCCATCCTATGCAGGGACAGCCGAGAGAAATCTTATCGGACAGGACTGACCCAGCGGAGGGAATGTTGTCTTCTTTTTTTCTGGCACGTGCAGAGAAATGCAGTGATGGAGGCGATGAAAACTAATTCGGCCAAAAAGCAAACATGGCGCAGATTATAATAGGGCGCGTATTATAAATGTATCATGCACGGGATGATTATAAACATACCAAGCATCTTGCTTATGCTAAAAACAATGACGCTGGTCGTTTATGTGTGCCCCTGTAAATCACCAGAGACCCACCTGGCGTTGCTCAAGTTGGCTATGAAGTCCATGGCGCCCTCCACTGTCACGTGATTGTTTGTTTTCTCCTGCAGGATGCGGTAGAACTTCTGAGCGACCTGTAACGAGCCACACTGTCAGGTCATGGTGCCAGGCGTGCTGGGAGTTAGTAAACGGCTCACTTGTTAGCGTGACATAAGTCAACAAAATGTATAACGATATTAAAACCTTTTTGATGTGCAACTAATTGCTTTCAACATCCGTAAACCCTCTGGCTAATGAGTTCCGCCGCACAATAAGATAATCCTAACAGTCAGCAATTTGATAACCCCGTGGTCTGGTGAATAACGGCGGCGTTTTTCACATAGTTCCGGCATTCCTGCAGTTCCGCCGGTGGCCAGTTTTTTCCCACGGGCTCGAGGGCCGACAGTGCAGTAACAGACGGGTAGGTAGCTCTCCGATACCGGCCGATAGGGGAGGACCGAGGTATGAGCTGGCACAGGCGATATCGCCCAGTCGGAGATAAACGCTAGGCCCAGCTGTGTGGACAGACTTGGCTAGGCTGATACAGAAATAGTTCGATGCTAACTACTTGAGACTTGGCCGGAACAGTGATCAGTGATCACACGCCATAGCTTGTAGCTTATTGGCATTGCTGAAGACGTGAGTAATAACTAATGCAACTCGGTAATGAAACATTCAACAATGTTTTTAAGCAATTGCTTCAGCACAACTAGATCACCTGTTATCAAACGAAATAGCTCCTAATTGAGTCTTACTTGCGTGACGATGGTAGGCTTGTGGACTATGAATAATAGGAGCAGGTGAAAAGGAGTTAGTCTGTATATTGTGGGGCTTCCCTTAGACAACAACATCAATGAGAACGAAGAGGAAGAAATGCGAATTCAGCAGTGTACGGCACAAAACATGTATGATTCGGAAGGAGTGGGGGGGGGGGACTCACGCCTTTGGCCTGCAGGATGCTGGCGAAGCGCTCGAGGGTGACGTCCTGGTAGCCGCAGATCAGGTAGGCGGCCGTCTCAATGACCTCCACCAGCTCCCGCTGCTGGTTCGTTCTGCAGCGAGTCAAACGAACACGGTACGTCACTGGACTGCAGGAGCTCAGCCAGAGTAATGTCGATGGGATTTATTGTGAAGGTTTGCAGGCTTTTGAAATTGACGACGACGACGCAATATATGAAGTTTGCATTTAAAAGGATTATGAAAATTTAAATGTATAAAGGCAATATTTAAATATTTAAATATCTTAATATTTGTAGTAAAATGACAAAAACAAAGTTTTGGTGGTTCAATGTCCATGAATAACTAATTTCGTGTATGATAGATGTGCTAATTTATTTCAAGGGAGCCTCATATTGTCCCTCGCTCAGAGATACTCACTGTTGTCGGCCTTTGAGAAACTCGATCCACTCGTTCTGATCCAGGTAGCCGGCTCCGTCCCAGTCAAACAGACCGAACAAATTGGCGGCGGCGTCCTGCGACAGAGAGGGGCCAGGTCAGGGCAGAGGGCCAGAGCCTCTCTCTCTCTCTCTCTCTCTCTCTCTCTCTCTCTCTCTCTCTCTCTCTCTCTCTCTCTCTCTCTCTTTCTCTAGTCATTTTTATCCCCTCTCTGGAAAAGTAAGCTTCACTTCAGTCCATATGTTACCATGGTATTAACTATTAGAGTCCACCATAAGTTTCAGATCAAAGGATCAGAGATGTACGGATAAAGACGAAAATGGCACCTCCCATTCTCCTGTCATTAGCGTCTGTCTGCACTCGAGGACAGGCGTTGTGTCATGCAACCCTCCCGTGATCCGGTCTGAAATTGAGCGGGGACTGCCGGGGGCGTTCACGGACCGGGCTCTGCTGCCGACCGCCGCCCAGTGTCCAGCCAAGGTCACGGGGAATGACGCCGGGAAGGGCTGCAGGCTGACCGCGGCTCGTGACGGTGGGCATCGGACACGGCACGGGCACGGGAGCTGGGGATATAAGGGATTATAACAGCCGGAGAATAGACACTGGACGGGCGGCATGGAATGGAACAGGCGACAGGGAACAGGGGACAGGGGACAGGGGACAGGAGACAGGGGACAGGGGACAGGGACGATACCGCCCGGAGATTTAACTGAACCGTTTGACTGAAGACACCGGATGGCCAGACTGGACAGCTCAGAAATTGGACAGTAGACAGCGAGAGCTATAACACTCGGCAGTGGGAACTGGCCAGCGGACGGCTACTCGTAATGGTGGACGATAGTGTCCGGTAATCGTCCCCACACACTCACCCTATTGAGTAGGGTGATTATGCACATATGACGAGCCATCTTTGACGTGGAGCCGGATGCTATAAGCGATACCGTTAAGACTTATCTATAGCGTTTAGTGGGATTAGGATAAAAACAAAGCTCAAGACACAAAAGAGTGATGCATTGGAGAGAACTCGTGACGAACAATGACAACCGATAGGCAATGATATCTGTCACACAAATCACAGTTGGGGTTTAATGAGAACATCGGGGAAGTTTTGCCGGTGGTCGTGACGTTTTCAAAATGAGTCATTACAACAGACTTCAGAACCCAAGGTGTCTTTTTCAATATCAGTCAAGTATATGAGTAAATATTCGTTTCAGAAACTGATATGGGTGGCAAAGTGACGTTATGGCACTGTGAAAGTGTAAGGGGTATGCACATGATCTCGTCACATGAAACGTGAGGCGATGGTGACGGCGCCAGTCACGGGCTGTAGCTTAGCGCGGTTCTGCGACACCTGAGCGAACGTCATTTCAGCGAACGACATTTGAGCGAAACATTTTCAGCGATTATCGATTTAAGCGATTGGCTTTTTCAGCGATTGTCAAGTCGGCGAATTCAATCACAGCGATTATCAACTTCAGCGAGGACCAGAATCAGCGAAACCAGATTGAGCGAACATATGGTGGTCAGTGGGAGACCAGTTGAGCGATGCAGTTACAGCGAATGACCGAACGCGACGAAAGTCAATCATTTGCTACTTTTCGGAAATTATTGCACCTCTTTACGTATCATTTGAATTTTGAAGAAACATATGTACATCGGATGACCAACAAGGGGTGCATGGGAGGGGAAGGAGGCAGGCAAAATTTGAATTGAAAATGTGGAACGTGAGAGATAGGGCGACGGAAGGAATGCCAAGGACCAATAACAAACTAGAGAGATGGCACAGGGGAATCCAGTCTATGTTTCAGGGACCTCACCCAAATATCTGGAAATTCGTACGGTGCTTGGGGCAAGAACAAATTTTACAACACGGGGAACTGATCCAACTTCAAGCGGGGCAATTTCGCGAAAAAAGCACAAGCAATATTGATCTCTGAACAAACGTTTGGTCACCATTATTGAAAAAGAGCAGGGTGGGTTGGGGGGGGGGGTGAAATTGAATCGTTGGAATTTTTGACAAATGTAGCATTAAAATTGGAGCTCAATGCCTGACCTTTGAACGCGCGACATCCGCCATCCAGTACCGGATAACCATGAGAAATTCCGGAAACATTCGTACGCATACGCTCGCAAAAGAAAAAAATCCACCGTTACAGGACGATGAAATGTTTCGCTGAACTGACAGTCGCTCAAATTGTAGTCGACGAAATATATGTCGCTGAAACATAGCTTTCGCTAAAATTGATAATCGCTATATTTGATAATCGATGAACTTGATAATCGCTGAATTGCCATTCGCTGAAAATGGTTCGCTCAAATGACGTTCGCTCAAATGACACTCGCTAAAGTCGCTCGCACCGGCTTAGCGCACACCTCCCCCTGGCCTTGCAGGCCTTTAATCACTCCTTCCCCCAATAAAATCACCATGCAGCCTCAGCCCTTAATGTGAGTCCCTCTCTGATAGCCATGCTGCATTCTGCCGCCTCACCTCTCCTCGGTCTCCCCCTCCCTGCTTATACTCCATGACCTTCAAGCTCCCCGATTTCAGTGTTTATTTCCCAGCATGTCAGCTTTCGGAGCTCATCTGCATGCAGACAGCTGGGGGCTGTTAGCAAGGACTGGCCTCAGAGATGACGCGAGAGGGGCGTCATCCTCGTTGAAGCAGCCATCATCGGACATCCATCACGTATCTCTTCAGCCCCCTCCCTAGTCCTTTGAACCAGGCACCCATTCACCAGCCCCCAACCCTTAAATCCAACTCCAGGTCCCAGTTCACAGCTCCTATCCCCAAGCCGCCCGCGCTAGTACCATGCCCCCAGACCTTAGTCCTAGCCCCAGCCCCCAGCTCCCAGGTCCTGGCCCCCAGCCCCCAGACCCCAGCCCCCAGCTCGACCCCAGCCCGGGTCGAGCGCTGCTACTGGCGGCGGTGACATAGCGTGCACGGAATGGACTCTGTCAGCGATGCTGTAAATATGATCATTCACTGGTCGTAACAAGGTGTGTAGTTCAGTGCCGGACAGTCCTTCAGATGGATTCCGTTGCAGTGCATCACCTTTTGAATGCACATCAGACAGTTTGATCCAATCAGATGGAACTCGTGTCATCACCGAGGTTTTTGCTGATGTTGATGGGCCAATTTAAACTCAATGCCGATAACAAAAAAGTTCAGACCAAAACAAAAATCATTGTCGATCGCTAAATACCTTTGGATGAAGTGATAATAGTTAGCTTAACCCTATTCCTGGCGGGGGGGCCTCAGGAGCCCCCCCCCCCCTGAGGTTTTTTGGTTATTTCTCCCAAACGCTTTGAGCTAGGAAGCTCAAATTTTCTGACTTTTACTAAAAGGCTTTTACGCAACATTTCTGAAAATTTTGAGTTGATCTGACCTCAGGTCAGGTCACCAGAGGCGGTTTGGTGACCCTACCTCAGAAAAGTTTGCAATCACGCCAGAGCTAGAGTTTTTGACCGATCAATTTCTTCTCTTCAGGCTTTAGTTAGGGTACCAGTATGTGCAATTTGTATATCTCAGAATTTTCATATCTGTGACCTGAGGTCAGGCGAGACTCGTGACCTTTACATTGCAAGCCTATGGGAAAATATTGAAACGCCTCCTGCTTCGTGTAAACGAGTCAAAACCACCCAATTCTTTCAGTATTATGGAAGATTATCTCATCGGTGATGATCCTGGTGCCGCTAATTGACAGGGGCACCGGCAAAGGTCATCTGAGGTCATGTGACGTCATAAATCGTTTTTCTGTAAATAAATCACGACATGATGGTGCTAAAGACTTGTAAGTGGTACCAAACTGCTCGCCTGGTCAAGGCGCGTCGTTTGGTATGCAGCATGACCATACTCCACAACCTCATTGATGAATGACCTGACCTTGAACTCAGGTCAAATTTCAAATCGACCTGTGAAGGTCATCACATACTTATTTCGCATCGCCTCGGCGAGAGCAACAAAAAATGTATTGGTTTTATGTCTCTATGTTTCTTAGTTTAAAAGTTATATAGGTAACTAATTCCAAAACATTTTATCGTTGATGACCTCTGGTGACCTCAATATTGACCTGACCTGAAAATGTTTTATGTAAAAGTTGTAGATCTTTAAACGACCTATCAAACGCCGTTCGCCGTTTGTCGCTGCGATGTGTAGTTTTTGAGATCTGAAGGGGGGCCGAATCGGCCCCCCCCCCCCGCCAGTTTCTTGTCCCGGCGGAGCCCGCCAGGAATAGGGTTAACAAACAAAACGTGCAGTCGCTTATCCTATCACAACCAACAGCAGGGTTGGTAAATCTCAAAGAATGTTGGGCTCAATATTTATGTGCATCCGAGGACTAAACTAAGGTTGTGAAAAGTCTTCAGCCTGCACAAAAATAACTTAATAAATTATCCAGACAAGGATAACTGGCTGCGGGCTCGTTGCTCGGTCGTCAGCCACCTGAAGTCATTTGGAGAGGCTCTGTCGAGGTCACCTGCTGCACGGGGTATGTGCCCGTCGGCAGCCGAGGGGAACCAGTTCTGTAGCTCAGACACCGGAGGACCTCTGCCGGCCCAGCGCGCGTGCCAAACGCCACCGGAGGAAGCCTCGGAGCCGATCATATCACAGATCAAAATCCAGGTGACCTCGGCTGGAGTACCACTCGAATGGAGGAAAGACTCATTTTTGGCCAGTCTGATTTTCTGCTTTTGAGTTAGGAATGATGAAACATACCTAAGCCTTATATTATGTATGACATGTTTAACTAGAATTCCCGCTACAGCCGTCAGAACCAGAGATTGGCATCTGTCCTTTGGTCTTAGACAGTAATTTGGGGAAGATTAGCCCCACCAGTCTGAATAAGCTGCTCTGACGCGGTAAATGGCGACACGGGTGGGAGAGGTGCAGTATGGCGCTGATTGCCACAGTGAGCAGTTGAGCACTGAGCACAGACATTTCTGCTCAATATTTTTTTGGATCTAGGCAGCGTGTCTTTATATCTAGGGTCGTGGGTGAGTTTTGTATCGATAGATTCCCTAAAAAAAAGACCGTCCAAATGGTTATGTAAAAAAAAATGCAATAAAGAAGCAAAAAAAAAGCACCAAAATACTTCCAAGCAACCGTCTAATTAGAGAGCGTATGCTTGTGTTAAAACGGAAGAGACATTGTTTTAAATAAATTGTTGATTTACAGCAATACTACCTGCAAAGCAAAAATATTGACATCATATCGGCCTTGAACCTGAATCACTAAAACTTTTGGACCAATTACGGAACCTCACCAGAAACCATCAGGACACTGCACGCTGCATAGTGAATACGCCAGTCACAGGCCATAAGAAATCAGCACAAACAGTCTGGCCCTAAGAACAGACAAACAGCCTGACTAGCGGTTTGAGCAGCGCGGCACGGTGTGTGCCCCGTGGTTCCGTCGCGGCTCCGTCGGCAGCCAGGGCCAGGATGTTGTGAGGCACCAAGGTCACGGCAGGTGGGCCCGCCGTGACACGAGAGGCGGCGCCGGGCGGCACTCTGACTGCGGCCGGGCGGCACTCTGAGCGCCGGGCGGCACCGCTGCAGAGGCGGAGTGCCGTCCGCACACCCGGGATCCATTAGCATCGGTCGGAGAGGTTCCGAACAATGCTATCACAGCCACAGAGGCAAAACTTCGGTCTCGTGTGCAATAATGCACGAGTGATGCAACGTTTTGTTCTTGGGATTTTCCTGAGAATGAAGCATCATTTTGCATGTTCATGCAATCGTAAAATCCGACGGTGTGAGACTGTGGTTTGGGGCTTCAAGAAATCTGACAATGGAGATTGGAAAGATAAATTCAATGAACAAGACAAAGTGTTGAGTTTTTAGCCGGCATGGCGGCGGCAGCTGCCGACGGCACAACATTTTAAGCTACCCATTTCCATACTGGTGTGGTGTGAGGTAGAGTGGTGTTGAAGGAATTCTTTGCAAACCGCAAAGGAGAAAGTCGATAATTTCTCATGCATTTTGTCACTAGGCGGCGATGCGGCGTCGTTATAAACCTGACACATACCTTTATCCGATAGGGCCTTCTGAGTGTTCCATTCAAACCAGAAATTTTAGTTTCGCATTTAAATATGGGACGAGTACCTAATCTTCAGACACTTATGTGGCAATTGGTATGTCTAAGAAAAACCAGTTAAGATATTTGTAGCAGTATCCAGAGATCCTACGATAACCATAAAATGCATTTATAACATCAGCAAGTCTTAATCCAGCCCTAGATAATGAAAAATGTGGGATTTTCCGCTGGGACGGACCGTCCCATCAAAAGCCGACTGCGGCTGCCAGCCAACATCGTCTCGCGCGATCTCATGACTGGAGCCACATTCCTCCCCAGTATTAAGGTTAGGCGACAGTGACGGGCCCGTACATAAGCCAAACGTGACCTCAAAACATCCACCGTTTCGCCGGAGAGACACGACCACAATGGAATTCCAGCCAAATGAGCGCCAATATTGGCGCTATTTATACTTGGTATTTACCAAGTATAAATAAACCAAACTCCGGCAGAAGAGATGAGTAGGTGGTGTGCGACAATGCACCCACACAATGACCATTACCCACAGGCCACAACATTAGAATCGCAGGATATTGTGTTTTTAAGAACTAGAACGCAGGAATGGGAGTAATTGAGCACTTACAGCACTGATTACAAAGTTTTCGATACTCTCGTGCTAATGACCAGCCGTCTCATAAACGGCCGTGAATGCTCTAATTAACCTTACACCTAGGGAGCTGTAACCGTGCTGGGAACGGCACAGGGATGGGGCTGTAACAGGGCCAAAAGAACTACCTATAACCTATAACCGCATTGAGAGAGAGAGAGAGAGAGAGAGAGAGAGAGAGAGAGAGAGGGGGGAGGGGGAGGGAGAGAGAGAGAGAGGGGGAGAGAGAGAGCGAGGGAGAGAGAGAGAGAGGGAGAGAAAGAGAGAGAAGTGGAGAGGGAGAGAGAGAAAGAGAGAGAAGTGGAGAGGGAGTGACTACCGCGGTGAATAACCGTACCGACGGGAGAGTCTATAACCGTACCGGCGATGTGATGGCCGTGACAAAGCCGTCCGACGCGAAGACGTTGCCTTGCTCGGGCAGTCCCTCCCTGAGCAGTCGCTCCATCTCCTTTAGATGGCCCATCCGCTTCCTGTCGCGCAGCGCCTCCAGCTCCATCTTGGACATCTTGCGCGCGGGCGTGGGCGAGCCGCGTGGCTTGTATCTCGCCACCTCTCCGCCGGCGGCGGGCGTCACCTTCCGCTGATAGGTCCCGCGGCCGCCGTCCCCGGCAACGTCCCCCGACGAGCTGCTGGGAGAGATGCCCGGCGAGCCGCGGGGAGAGTCCCTGGGAGAGCCCCTGGGAGAAGCCCTAGGAGAAGCTCGCGGAGAAGCTCGTGGCGAAACTCGGGGCGAACCTCGAGGTGACGCTCTGGGCGAAGCTCTGGAGGAGTCATCACTGACGTCCGGGCCGCCGGTGGTGGGCACCTCGAGTCGTCCGCCGTCCACCACCACGCCGTTCAGCTGCGCGCCGTCCTCCATCGTGTACCGCGCACCGCAGGCACAGCCGAGCGCCGTCTCCTGCGTGTGCCAGCCACGCCGTCTCCGCCGGTACTGGCGGTCCGGTCCGTCCGACTGCGGCGGCCGACCGACCGCGGCCGGTCCGGCGTGCCGCACTGACGTCATCGGACCCCGGCGGGAAGACCTGCCGCCGCCGCCGCCGGACCGGACTGTCCCGATCCCCGGGTTCTGATCACCGGCACGAGCCGAGGGCTACTCGGTGAGCAGCACCGGAGATACACCGGAGATACACTTCCGGTGTTGTCAGTCGTCCCGTTTTCATTCAGCTCATCTCTCTAAACGGTGACATTATATTATCCCCAGCAGCATTCCCCAGTTGGTTCACCTTTTCATTTCTGCTTCATCGTTTCATCTCCATCGCGGTCATATTGTCATATGTCACATTATCATGTCACACCACCCAATTATCGGTAACGCATGTTGATGTGACAAGTTCTACTCGTATAACATGTCATCGGCAATTACATGTCTTAACATATCCGCCATTTAGTAATATTTTATACCTACCCGCCATCAGGCCTTTTCTTATAAGGCCCGATGTACCTTTCTGCTTATCCTGTTCGTATCTTCTCTCCACGACTGTTTCGCCCCAATATATCCACTGTACAGCCTCTTTTGCCGAACTGTTCCTTTTCTACACTTGCTCTTTCCAGCCCCTCAGCTCTCCTTTGCATACTTTACGATATTTCTTTATGATTTATGGTTTCGCCTGCATGGTTGGTCTATCTCTATTCCTTTATTTCATCCTTTTAATCTACTTCCATTCTGCTGTGCCCGTTTCGTCCGCTTCAGCCTCAATTTCTCGTCCCGGCGAGCTTCCATCCCATTCCCTTGGCATTTTCATCCTTCTCTTCGCTCTCTTCTCTGCTCTCCCTCCCTCTCCCTCTCTCTCTCTCTCTCTCTCTCTCTCTCTCTCTCTCTCCTTTCGTTCCTTCTCTCTCCTTCTTGCTCACGCTCATACATGACAGAGACACACCTCGTGATGTGTTGTGCACAGTGCACACCTCCCCACTCTCTGTACCACCTGAGCTGGATCCGCCTCTGCGCAGCGGACGCCCCGCTGACGACCGCTGCCGTCTTGGCGGCACACGACCGGTTACAGCGATCCAGCGGATTCCGGTATACCTACGGCGATTACCTACAGATCTGCCTGGCCAAAGAGGGCGGCCTATGATTTGTTGCACGCCACTTGGGCTGAGCAGACAGCCTCGTGTCAGCTTTTGCTGTCCGTGCATGCTGTGGCTTTTCATTGTGGAGGGGAAAGTTTCGCTGAAAGCTATTGTGATCATTCTGTGATCCTGATATTTTCTAATTTAATTACAACTATTAGGGCGTTTCAACGTTTCGTCGCCACCATACCATCCACAAAAAGTCAATGAACTGCCTAGGTAACTGCCAAAGCATATTGAAATTGCATCTTTTGTAAGTAGAAAGTCGCTTGAAAACCCAATGGTTATTACGTCACCGTGATTCATATTGGCCGTGAAGGCCGCCCACGTCACACATTCCTTCCATGAAAACATTACTGCTGGTGAGGCTAAATTTAAAAACAAATGTTCATGGGTATGACCAGTAAAACGCCTTTTGGGCGACCAACGGAGCGAGCGAGAGGATGGGCCTTGCACGTGCGAAATTGCGAGGGGATACCTCCAACTAACTTGTGCACTGCACCCTACTAACTGGTCTTTAGCGATGTGCCAAATTTCAGCGCAATCGGCCTAGCCGTTCTCGAGATCTGGAAGCGGCACACTGCACGTGCGCACGTGCAAGCGGGGTCCAAACTGACTTTTGCACGGCACCCTACTAATTGGTCCCCAACCGTGTACCAAATTTGAGCGCAATCGGCCCAGCCGTTCTCGAGATCTGGGAGCGCCCCTTGCACGTGCGCACGTGCTGTAGCACCCCAACCTTAACACATGCAGATGAATTATCTGATGGAGACCTAACTGTGTACCGAGTTTCAATTCAATCGGCCCAACCGTTGTGCCGTTATTGAGGTTGCAATTTTGGGGGTTCTTAAAAAATGTCCAACTTTACCACGCGCCACGTGCGGTGGTTGGTAAGAACGCATGGTGGCCATCACACCACAGAACTTTTACGTCCAAGTGACATTCAGTAAAGAAGACCGCTTGTCAATCGGATGTCCCGTTCCTAAGATATTAGCTTTTGAAGAGCGTCCCCACGGCCGGCCGCTCATACTCAGGATTTTCCCTTAATTCAGTATGAGACTCCGCTCGCTTCGCTCGCTCCGTAATTATGGCTAAGGTGACTGCTCCAGCTTACTTCCTCCATGTGCATTTCATGTGGGCAAGAGACATGTCCAATATCCATCAACTGCAAGCCAGGAAAACGGGCATTTTTAACGCCTCTGAGTGCACTATTCTGAGCCTGAACGCTAGCTGTTTGATTAGTCAAGATCACATGAACAGCGCAATATATAAAAATAGGTATATCCAGTCCTAAAAGAAACGTGTTAACGGTTCATCAAGCCTTACACGTATCTGCACGTTATAGGTAGGTGCTCGTCAACAACCTTTACTCACATACCTAATCATTCATCCTGGTATCATTTACATGTTCGCAGTCTGCTCGTCAATGCTTAGCCATAGGCAGCATGAATCATGTTATCTATGACTTGACGCATAAAAATGGATAGTGCTAGCTGTACGGCGAAGTCATTATGCAGCCGCAACTGGCGGATCACCTGTTGTTTTGAAGCACATAATGGCACGGTGGAATATTATCCAGCAGGCGAGCGTTGAACAGAGCCGTGGGTTTCCCTCCCGCAGTCACGACGCCTGTTCCGGCGGTTGGCTGTTAAAAAATTGTCCTCCAAGAAAATGGACCTTACTGGCTAAGTGAAGGAGCAAATATAGCAATATGCGGGTTTGTCGCATACCAAGTTATGTGTCTGTGTGCCTGCGTCAATCAATGTGTCATTCTGTGTGTCAACCTATGTGTTAATCTATATGTGTCAACCTATGTTTTACTCTATGTGTCTACGAGTATCACCTACGTCATCGATTGGCCTGTATGAAGAAACGCAGAAGTTCTTTAGCTGTTTCAATTTTTCCTTGCCCTTGTGAAAATAGTTTGCATGCCCTTGCAGACGGGTATGCAGTATGCAGTCAGGCTCGGGTGTTTATTCCAATTACGACACATTTACGCAAAGAGTTTGCTCATCTTCGTACTAGAAATAAATCTCACATGGGCCTGCACTTCCGCTCTGTGGTAATGCATTGTGCTAAAGGTTCGCTCTTCCAGTAACGAAGGAATCGTTCATCTTCCATTGACGTTGTGCCGACTGCGTAAAACGGCCAGCCTCCGCGAGTGATGCAATCCGTGCCTACGTCAGGGGCGCGCCCGGCGCTCTCCACCGTTCCGCGGCGCGGCGGTCTTCCCCAACGAGACGGCGCCCAAGCCGCGCCTCTGTGCCGACGGGACCACAGAGCACAAAGACACAGCGTCAATACACCGCGGGGCTGGCAGGAACGCTGTTTGCAGTTACTGGCTATTGGTGTTTGTAGGAACGTTTGCTCTTACATGCAATAAAAAGTGGCTGCATCATATTCGGAAATAAGAAGCCGCGAGCTCAAATGGAGCGCGGTCAGCGTTAAACACCATCTCCACAGCATTGGAAGCTGATCACTGCTCAGTGTTCAACTAAAAGTCAGGTGCGTCGTACCCGCTTTCCATGACCATGCGACAAGCTTTATCCCGTACAGTTATCCGGTTCCAGCGGGCTACTGCGCAGCTGGAGTCACACATCAGTACAGCGCCGGTCACAGAGAACGAGACATGAATATGGGATGTGGTGAGAGAGATCTGTGGTCTGCACAACGGCGACAATGGATTGGCGACATACAGAGGGGGAGAAGCCGACAGACGCACTACACATATAGGGCACATATGCAGTATGTATTGTGCACGGGTAAACGGCAGACGCCCCCGGGCCTGAACTGTCGGATAAATCAGTCAGCTGTGCCAAGCGTTGATATTAATTGGGACATTCGTGATGGGTCCGATCGGAACTGGAAACCAATAGGTGTTGAAAGGGCTGCAAAAGATTCACAAAATTGTGCCTATAAGCACTACCAGCGTAAATAAAAAACATTAATAGATTAAAGCCGCTTTAAAACAGTATCTGCTTTCATTCTAAAAATGTAAACCTCTAAATGACCTTTTGAAAACGCATTCGCAGACATTTGCCTAAGAAGTATGAATTCCACCATCACATTTGAGGAAGAGCCGCATTTTGATATGCAGAGTCAGATCCAGCATCCAGTCGCTGTGCAACACATGCGCATTCCAACATCTTCAACCGAGCAGTCATCAAAGATCGCGCCACCGATAACATCAGGATCTGGATATATTGTTAACGTCACCAAAGATCCTATCAAAGGCTGCGAAACCCGTTACGAAACAAAAACTATGCAAGCAGAGGTAAACAGAACAACGGCGTCTCAGGAATGAAAAGCGACTGATGCTCGAGTTACATACCTGCAAAGCCATACCATACCAGTGTTTCGAAATCATTCCAGATGTTTTGCCATGCTGGCGTAGTTAGCGAGAAAAGTTTCAAATTTCAAATAAGTCCGTCAGTGCTCTTTTATTGGTGAACATCTGGTCAAAAAACGACATCTACAAGTACAAACTACCAAAAAATGGCCTGCAAGGTTCTTCATCACATATGTATGTACATGTACATTGCTATTATAGATTTAGTTACAACCAGTAAAACGCCTTTTGGGCGACCAACGGAGCGAGCGAGAGGACGGGCCTTGCACGTGCGAAATTGCGAGGGGGTACCTTCAACTAACTTGTGCACTGCACCCTACTAACCGGTCTTTAGCGATGTGCCAAATTTCAGCGCAATCGGCCTAGCCGTTCTCGAGATCTGGAAGCGGCACACTGCACGTGCGCACGTGCAAGCGGGGTCTAAACTGACTTTTGCACGGCACCCTACTAACTGGTCCCCAACCGTGTACCAAATTTGAGCGCAATCGGCCCAGCCGTTCTCGAGATCTGGGAGCGCCCCCTGCACGTGCGCACGTGCTGTAGCACCCCAACCTGAACACATGCAGATGAATTATCTGATGGAGACCTAACTGTGTACCGAGTTTCAATTCAATCGGCCCAACCGTTGTGCCGTTAT